ATGACTTCTTGCCCGATGACCTAACATGGCCGGTGGCGTGCGCCCGTGCGCTGCCTACGGCTCTTAAGCCGTTTTCTCAACCAACTTGAATTAACTGAGTATAAAATGACATATTACGATCAAGAAAATATAAATTGCTTGGGAGTTGTCGGTAAAAACGAATATCACACAGTCACGGCCTAACATGGCCTAACCGAGCCTAATTTGGCTTTTCGTGATCCTTATGACATGAATTAAACATGATGAGCTTAAAATGATTACATGAACGTGGTTAGAAGATGATGAGGACGTTACCTCCTCGAATTCTGAATCAAATGGCACAAGATTTTGCTAAAATGCTTGGCCTCAGCAGTACCATGCGTGTGCGTGTGTGCTTCCTTTGCCTCCTTCCTTCCGTGCGTTAGCTTGGCCTAATTATTGCTTAACTTATCTTAACATATTGTTGAGTACTAATATTAGTGTAGGGTAAAATTTACCCCAAACACTACACATAATTAGGGGCCGAATCATGGTGAAGTTTGGGAGGAAAAATGCTAGCCAATCCTCTTTCACCACTTGCTCACTATCTAAGGCTTTAGGTGTAATTTTTGTGGCTTAGTCATCCTCTTAAGCCTTAGATGAAGGCCACATAAGGTAAGTGAAATGATGATGGTCAAGAAAATTTAACCATGCTTCCAAAACTTACGGCCATCATGTGTACTAAATATTCTTAAGTGGACTTAGTACCACTTAAGTGTGATCATGCCAATATAATTGACCTTTGGTGCTATGCACAATTAGCGTGTATAAACTATGCTTACACAACCATCCTCGGCCATTAACATGAATTAAGGGAAAGTGATTGCCGATTATCTCGGTAATATATATATCGGGTGATTAGACATGATTAACTGTCAGAATTTATTCCGAGCATGAACGTGATATTCGAAAATTAATTCGAACGTCCTTGACTGAAATAAATAGTTCCGAATGATAACGCTTAATAAAATAAATATTCCGGAACTAAACATGATATTATATTAATTACATGACAGGATATAACAATCTGCCCCCCTTAAAATATTTCCGTCCTCGGAAATACAAAACGAAACATATATACATGAAACATGAAAGATATATATACATCAAAACTGAAAATCAGGAAAACGAGCGCGAATATCAGCCTCTTGCTCCCAAGTGGCTCTGTGGCGATCCCACTGAATACGAACGAGGGGTACATCACGCTTTCGGAGCCGTCGAACCTGTCGGTCCAACACAGCTACCGGTCGCTCCTCGTAAGATAAGTCTGGATGGATTAGAATATCAGTATGAGGAATGACATGATCGGGGTCGCACACGTACTTGCGTAACATGGATACATGAAAAACATTATGAACACTGGATAATTCGGGAGGTAAGGCCAATCGATACGCAACGTCGCCCACTCACTCGAGCACTTCGAACGGGCCAATGAACTGAGGGTGCAACTTCCCTCTCTTCCCGAATCGAATAACTCCGCGAAATGGACTAACTCTGAGAAAAGCTCGCTCGCCAATCTCGAATTGAATATCTCGTTGATGATTATCGGCGGTTGATTTCATTCGACTCTGAGCTGTCTTAAGTCTCTGCCGGATCAACTCGACCTGCTCCGCTGTCTCCTCGATCAATTTCGAACCGAGTACTCGACGCTCGCCGACGTCGTCCCAATAAACAGGGGAACGACACTTACGACCGTAAAGTGCCTCGTAAGGAGCCATCTGAATAGCAGAATGATAACTGTTGTTGTACGCAAACTCAGCGTATGGCAATAATGACGCACTTAGCACCCCTGTCAACAACCAAAGCTCGCAACATATCCTCTAACGTCTGAATGGTCCTCTCTGTCTGACCGTCAGTCTCTGGATGGTAGGCTGAACTGAATGCCAATCTCGTGCCCATCGCCTTGTGCAAACTCTGCCAGAATCTGCTAGTGAATCTGGGATCTCTGTCTGACACGATAGTAACGGGCACGCCGTGGAGTCGAATAATTCCACGGCTATAAATCTCAGCCAACTCATCCAAAGACATACTCATCGATACTGGCAAGAAATGAGCAACCTTAGTCAATCTGTCGACCACGACCCAAATAGCATCGTGATGTTCAGACGACTTCGGTAAACCCGTAACGAAATCCATCATCACCTCCTCCCACTTCCATCTCGGAATCGGTAGTGGTCGTATAAGGCCTATAGGCCTCTGGTGTTCGGCTTTGACTTGCTGACAGGTTAAACATTTTCTGACAAAATCAGCTACGTCTTTCTTCAAACCTCTCCACCAAAACGACCTTTTCAGGTCATGAAACATCTTTGTACTTCCTGGATGGGCTAGATATGGTGCGGTATAAGCCTCCGTCAAGATATCCTTCCTCAACATCTCGACTTTTGGCACCACAATCCTGCCGTGAAACTCCAAGGCTCCATCTGTGCCTCGGTGAAAACCCTCAACGCCTCCGACGCGGACTTTGGCATCAGTGGTACGAATGAACTCATCCGAAGCCTGCTCCCGCCGGAATCTCTCCCTCAGCGTCGGCTGAATCTGCATAGAACTAAAACTCCCTAAAAGAACTGTAGGAAGTGCGTCAACCACCTGAATCTGCATCCGGGCGAACTCCCGAATCAATTGGCTCTGCTGAGTAACAACGTACGTCTAGTCACCCTTCACCTTACGACTTAGGGCATCAGCAACAACATTCGCCTTTCCCGGATGGTACTGAATCGTGCAATCATAATCTTTGACCAATTCTAACCAGCGGCGCTGCCTCATGTTGAGCTCCTTCTGAGTAAAGATATATTGTAAGCTCTTATGATCGGTAAAAATCTCACATCGACCGCCGTACAGATAATGTCGCCAAATCTTAAGGGCATGAACAACTGCAGCTAACTCCATGTCGTGCGTCGGATAGTTCTGTTCGTGTGGCTTTAGCTGGCGTGAAGCATAAGCAACAACCTGGCGATCCTGCATAAGGACACATCCCAAACCCTGTCTCGAAGCATCACTAAAAATGGTGAAACTTCGGGAAGGATCGGGAATAGTCAACACCGATGTTGAAGTTAGCCTCTTCTTAAGCTCTTGAAAACTCGCTTCACATCGCTCAGTCCATTCGAACTCCAAAGACTTCCTCGTCAGCTGGCATAAAGGAAGGGCTATCTTGGAGAAGCCCTCGATGAATCTGCGGTAATAACCAGCCAAACCGAGAAAACTGCGAACCTCGGACGGACTCCTCAGTATCGACCAGTTCTGAACGGCTGCAACTTTGGAAGGATCCACCTCAATACCTGCCTACGTAATCACATGACCTAGAAAAGCTACTCGTCGAAGCCAGAATTCGCATTTGGAGAATTTTGCATATAGCTTTTCTCGTCTAAGGGTTTCAAGAACAACCCTCAGATGCTCCTCGTGTTCCTTCTGGCTCTTTGAGTAGATAAGGATATCATCAATGAAAACAATGACAAACTGATCAAGATAGGGATGAAAGATACGGTTCATCAAATCCATAAATACTGCAGGGGCATTGCTGAGGCCAAATGGCATGACAATGAACTCGTAATGACCGTAACGAGTACGGAAAGCGGTCTTGGGAATGTCTGACTCCTTGATTTTCAACTGATGATAGCCTGATCGCAAATCAATCTTAGAGAAAACACAAGCTCCCCTCAGCTGATCAAATAAATCGTCAATCCTGGGAAGCGGTACTTGTTCTTGATCGTCAACCGGTTAAGATCTCGGTAGTCGATACACATGCGCATGGATCCGTCTTTCTTCTTGACAAAAAGAACGGGTGCTCCCCAAGGTGAAACGCTCAGCCGAATGAAACCGAGTCGTAATAGCTCCTGAATTTGCGCCTTAAGCTCTTGCAATTCTTTTGGCGCCATACGATAGGGTGCTTTAGAAACTGGCCCGGCTCCTGGAATAAGATCAATAGAGAACTCAACATGCCGGTTAGGTGGTCCTCCTGGGAGCTCATCTGGAAACACGTCCACAAGCTCACG